ATCTGGTTACAAATGTGAATATCCTGCTGTGTACTGAAATCCCTCTTGTTTTGCATAGAAATATACTGAACAACATACAAAGCATAATATATAAAATGACATTTACCTGCGTTTTTTCTTTGAAAGAAGCCTCTAATGTCCATTCTTATATTTCAGTACATAACTGAAACCGATTTAGTCGGGAGGGTAAGAACTGAAAATATGAAATAAACACACGTAAGATAAGACTCTATAAAAAAAAAAAAAGCATTTGTTCGGCTTTTCATTTCGCCATTTGTTGATTCACTTGAAGAGCGAGTAACGTAATATTGGTCAAGTGATCAGTTTGATATCAATCTTTCGTGATTCACCGTCATATTTACATTATTTGTACGGTACGAATGATTTGCTTTGGTACCTGGTCAAACTTAAGCTCTCCTTAGTATGGCTGGCTCCGTTTCTCCAACAGCGCACTCACAGGCAGCAGCTGCCCCGCCCCCTCGCTCAGTCGCTTAGTGCCTGAGCTTGGATCATACCAATATCGGGGGAATTCACGCACAGTCGTAAATTCCCACAGTGTGCACTATGTGCTTCGAATATTGTGTGTACTTTTTGTTTTATACAGTTGTCAGCCAGGCATCTAACTATGAAAAAATTACACTCCAAAAGACCCTGGACTTCTGACAAAACAACCCGGGCTTAAGCCCAGTAAGCCACCTCCACGCTCCGCCCCTGACGTGGGGTCAGGATGGTCATAAGAAAGGTAGTTGATCAGCCAGAAAATACACAGGAGGAACTTGTTGATGATCTGAAGGCAGATGGGACCACAGTCACAAAAAACACCACTGGCAACACACTACACCATTATTGGATTGTAATTTTGTAATTTTTGACCTGCAAGGTCCTCCTGTTCAAGAAAGCACATGTACAGGACTGTCTTAAGTTTTCTAGTGAACATGTAAGTGATTCAGATAAAGTGCTACGTTGCAGATGAAAGTAAAATCAAGCCCTTTGGCACTGATGCAGCCTGCTATGTTTGGAGGAAGAGAAATGCTGAGGAGGACTTAAAGAACACCACCCCCTGCCCTACAGTACAAGTACCCCCACAGTCAAGCATGGAGGTGGAAACATTATGCTTTGGGTGTGTTTTTCCTGCTAACGGTACAGGATGACTTCACCGCATTGAGGGACCAAGGGACAGGGCAGTGTCCATAAAATGTTCCCTCAGCTGGAACACTGATGACGGGTCGTGGATCGATCTTCTAGTATGATGAAGACCCAAATATTTATTTTACTAAATGATATGAAACTCAGTTTATACCTTTTATGTAAGTTTTTTTCTGGATTTTTGGTTGATATTCTGTCTCCCTCCCCCTTTAAAATAAAATTACCATAAAAATTAGACACTGCTCATTTCTTTGTATGAGAGCAAATGTAAAAATTCAGCAGGGGATAAAATAATTAGCTCCCCCACTGTACTGCTAGAATGGTGGCTCATTTTAATCATTGCCAAAGTTTCAAATAATGACATTAGCATATTTTTAAGTAAAAAAGAGAGCATATCTAGTCATCTCAAGTACACAGCTATTTTAGGAAAAGGTCCCATAAACCTACACTATAATGCCAAACATATTTGCTTGTCTGCTTTCATATGCATATCAGCTTGAGGGAGATGCTATGCTTAATGCATAGGGTTTAATATGATGTCACCCTATGATGTATGATGTCATGTTTATGGACATTTTTGACCATTCTTCCAGAAGCACATTTCTAAAGTCAGACATGGATGTTGGACGAGAAGGCCTGGTTTGCAGACTCCGCTCTAATTCATCCTAAAGGTGTTCTGTGAGGTTGAGGTCAAGACTCAACCTGCAGGCCAGTCAAGTTCTTCATACCAAACCTGCTCATGTTTTTATGACCCTTGCTTTATTTATGAACTGATTTGCACTCATGTTGGAACAGAAAGGAGCCACTTACAAAGTTGGGAGCATGAAATGTCACACTAAGAGTTCCTTTCACTGAAACTAAGAGGCTGAGCACAACTCCAGAAAAACAACCCCTTGCCATAATCTCCCTGTGCTTCAAGCTTTACACTCGGCACAATCAGTCAGACAAGTACTGTTCTTCTGGCAACCGCCAAACCCAGACTCATTCATGGGCCATGCAGACAGAGAAGCGTAATTCGTCACTCGAGAGAACACGCCTCCACTGGTCCAGTGGCCGCATGCTTTACACGCAGTGGTGTTTGGTGATGTAAGGCTTGGATGTGGCCACTGAAACCCATTCTATCAAGCTCTCTATGCACTGTTGTTGAGCTAATGTGAAAGCAGCATGAAGTTTGCAGGTCTGTAGCATCTGCTCTGCAATTTTACGTGGCCTATGACTTTGTGGCTGAGCTGCTGTTGTTCCCAATCTCTTTCACTGCGTTACACCACTAACAGCTGGCTATGGAATAGTGAGGAAATTTCATGACTGGACTTGTTACACAGGTCACATCCTGTCATGGTACTATGCTGGAATTCACAGAACTCCTGAGAACAACCCATTCTTTCCCAAATGTTTCTGATTTTATATACCTGTGGCCATAGAAGTGATCGAAACACCTGAATTCAATTATTTGGATGGCTGAGTGAATACTTTTGGCAATACAGTGTACTACTCAGAGCATCAGTTTGTGAGTGGAACCCAGTCAGAACGTAAAGAGGTGACCTTTAGATATGGCCTGTCTTTGTCTGCACCTCGTTAAACCAGCACGTTACAGGCGAAGAGGAGAGAAGCAGTTTACAATAAAACAAAAGAGAACTATTTTGAACTGTGAACCAAACAGAGCCATTGTAATAGAGTCTGAGATTTAAGAAATACCTGGGGATATTACCTAAAGATGGAACACACATCGTGCATTAAACATAAGCTAAGGATAAGTGAAAAAAATGGAATGCACATTTATGTAATTATGCAATTATTGGTCTAAAAAAAAGCTATAAATCTTTTATTGTTCAGAAATATTCCAATTAGAGTTCATTGTAACGTGCATTTAATAGAAGAATCAGAACTACTCAGGAGAGCCTCAGTCACTCTGGCACATTTAATATAAAATTACATAATTGAAAGGTTCAGCTTATCTGAATTTGCTTTACTTTTTGTGCTGTTTTCCATCCATTGTGAGTAGACAATTGAGTTTTTATCAGGACTTCATCTGAGTATTATTGTGCTCTTGACATCATTTTTTCTAAACTAATACTCTAAAATGTCCTCACAAAACCCAAACATAATTGTTCTACAGCTGTGACCTCTTCCCGCTGCCGTCATTTTAAGTTCCTGCGGTGTATTTCTAAAAACAGTTATTGTGAGTGCCAATAATACACTTAAAAGACCTTTCCAGCGCGTGGCTGCTTGTGCGCTCTCAGATTTTAGCTCTGTGCAGAGCAGGAGTAAAAGCTAAAGCACAGTTGAGGGAGAGCAGTGGTTGTGCCATTTGAGTTAACAAAGAAAGCCATTTGTTGTAGAATGATCTGTATCTGTCAGCTTTCCTTATCACTGTGGCTTGTTTGGCCAGGGACAGACGGGCGCTTTTAGCTGATATCCTGAGCCTTGTCAACAACATGCTTAGTCACCTGTCCTTATTCACGAGAGTCACACTGAGATAGAAAGCATTTCCCTGCTGCCAAGAGATTTGAGCTTATACAGCCCAGGCCACATTTAACCCCATCTTGGCTCAACTGTCTCACTGTGTCCTTGTGGACTCACCTGTGAATGCTGATTTTACAAATGCACAATAATCAGGGCCTTGTGGTAGAATTAAGATTCCTTAGTTTTGTGGTGCTGTAAGAGGCAGATAAAATTACAAATAAGAAATGCGCATTTCTTGATAAAAAACAACATTTGTAAATGATAGAGAGGTGTTTGTACTGCAAGTTTCTTATTGTACTAATTTATTTCAGCTGCATCACAGTGTTTCATCCATTGTCATGAAGTTGCATCTGTTCGTATATGATGACTTCATACTTCATAGTATTTTTGTAGAATTTGGGAAAAGCAACATAACCCTAACCCCAGGTTGGCTTACTTTTCTTCCGAGTCTTTTAACAGTAACACACAACCTCCATAGGTAGTTGGAGGCTGCTCACGCAGAAGTAAACTATGGTGGCCCTGAGAGTTCAAACGCACTGCAACTTTAGAAAAATCAGCAAGTAGAAGAATGGCAAAAACTCACAAAATATAGTGGAAGTGTTTTTGGGGAGTGAGTAACAACAGAACAGCTTTTGGAAGTGACAGAAAGGGAAACATGCGAATGATATCACTGAGACACGTTTAAAAGAAGCCAACGATGTGTCTGTGTGAGGGGGGAAAATATGCAGGTAATGTGTGTTTTAAATGCATTATTCTTATAACACTGCAGAGCCATGCTTTCTAGTAGCCATTTTGTCAAATTATTGTTGCCTCAAAGAAGCTTCAACTTTGTTTTTTTCTATTTCCATAGTGTTTTCTATGCTTTTGAAACATTTCTTCTTTGTGTTTTCTTAAGTTGCAGTGCTTTTGAACTCTGTGGGCCACCCTGGTAAGCCACATCAGGACACGTGACAGGAAATAATTTGATTTCTAGTCTCAATGTTCATGAATGAGAAATATAATGTTGTTTTTAAACGCATAAAATAGCGCAGTCTAAAACCCACCACAATTCCCCTTCCTCTTTTATTTCTCTGTTACTGCCGTAGCTTTCAGGCACAGTTTCAGAAGCACATTACACGGGGGAGAGTCCAATCCTCCCATCTCACACAGCCGGTCACGATTTTCTGTGAAAGGACTTCCAAACACTTAGAAAGCTAATAGAGATTTCAAAACTGCAGTGAGTGAGCTCTCAAGTACTACCTCGTGGTGATACACATCACACGGCAGCTGGGCTGTTTTCACAATCCAGTGTCCGTAAATTTCAAACTGCTGCCTCTAAATGCCATCTACAGCTGACATTATGTAGATCCTTAGTTATAAAATGCTTCCCAAATGTCTCTGTTTCCAACCAGAGGCCCAGTCCAGCGCCATGATGTTTGACTGCCTCTACTTGGAGCTCTCTGCTTCCTTAGAACACGGCACCAGTGAGCTGCTGGAGGCGGCAGTGCGGACCGCGAGAGGAGACTGCGTGGGCCCCGGATGGACGGACGGTGACCCCGGTGCTGGCCGCAGGGAGAGCCTGACGAGCCGGGCCAAGCGCTTCCTGGCTGGTCTCGTGCCCCGATCGTACGGCCGAGACAGGGACCGGGATCGAGGCCGCTACAGGGAGATGAGCCGCCACAGGGGCAGCAAAATCCTTCGGCAGAAGTCCCGCTCCTGTCATGACCTCAGTGCACTGTGACACACACCCACACACATAAATGCAGGCAAATAGACACACTCAACATGAACACAGACATACACCAAATTGAAAGACATGGAGGTGGGTGGGGGGCTAAAAGACTGAGGAGTAAAAGGAGATCGAGTTGGAGGGACAACATGAAAAGGACTGGAGCAGGCTCACGGGAATGGGAAAATTAGAGAGGTGTAAGGAGAGAAATTTAGCCGCCGAAGAGGAAGGTCAGGGGAGGAGAAAGTGGGAGAAAACAATGAACAGATAGCCCGAAACTCATTTCGGGAGAACAAAAAATCAACGATAAGGAGGTGAGCTCCATTTGTTGCTCTGGCTTGGGTGAGTCAGTGAGCACTCGCTACCTGATGAGAGCCGGCGAGGGAAGATTAGCATGAGAGTTGGATCAAACTGGCGATTTGACGCTTAATGTCACGAAATGAGAAACAGACTGGGGTCACAAATAAACACACACCCAAGTAGCACGCACTGATAACGTAGAGACTGATAGCAATCTAATGTATACCTGTTATAGACCCTGTTTTATAGCATGCAGAGTAGACAATTTAAGACATGATCCTGTAGGTTTTACAGTTACACGATTCTGTACCTCAGTGGCCAATAGCTAATGCACAATCTAGCTAGTGTCTCTAGCAACACCATCTCAAAGGCAAGACTATTTATAAAAGTGCTCCATCTCCACGCATCTTTGGCCACTTTCCACACTGCATCCACTGTTCTGTCCCCATATTGATTTAAAGTAGTGTTTGATGATACTGCCTGTGGCACATGTTCATTTGAGACTTTTATACACGGTTTAAAACGTCAGCACCCAAGCCATAACTTTGCTGAACGCACCACGAGTGATCAGCACAAAGAACCCTTTACTGGAGGATGTGAAGCAAAGGAGAAAAGGTCAAGACGGCTGTAAGGACTAAGCCGTTGGCAGGGATAACCAGACTGAACTCTTCTTCAATCGAAGCTGAGTCACAGAACATTGAGATACTCTCGAAGCGCAGGGGGACAAAACAAGAAAACCTAATCTACCTGTGGCTGTTTGATGTATTCCTTCTCTTCCCTTTTTTACCCACCGGCATCATTATTATGATGAATGATGATGATTCTTATAATCATTATTATTAATGTTATTATTATTATTATGTGTGTTTCGACTGAATTCTGTGGGGGCTGGCCACACAGGTGACCCAGAAAAGAACGTTCTGGAAACGTTGTTCTGATATCTCATCAAGCGTGGGGGCGTCACTGACACTTCCTCACTTGTTTGTCATCGTCAACTGAGCACTCTCGTCTTTACCACTGAGAATAAATAAAGATTTCTTTGACATCCAGTCCGAGTGTCTCGTCAGTTTTTTAAGACGCCACTAGAAAACGAGCGCCTCATTACAGCTGTCAGTCACACTGAGGGATGGTGTAATAAACCATCAGATGACTCGCAGGTATTCTGGACAGACTGGGAGATGGATTCTCAGGACACTGGCTCCATTTAGGGCTAGCAGCAAAAAAGATGCTGCCTCATCATTGTGCGCCTGTAACAAAATCTTAGGTTAAAAATAGATCGGAGGAAGGAATATGAACCAAGGCTTAGCAATATGAACTGCCTGAACTCCACCATATATACAGAACACTTGTAATTTGTGTGAAGTGATAAATTACCTGCTTAATGATGAGAGTGCAAAAAACAAATCCTTCTATAGCACTCACTCCTAGCCTTTTCAGTCTTACAAACCTGTGCAGTATCTTGCAGATCAACTGAAGTACCCCTTTGTTCCCACAGCCCTCTGCTCTGAATATGCTCATTTAAAGTGATGTTATATTGATTTTATTAATATGAAAGTGAATATCGTTACAATTTTTGTAGTTTTGTAGTTGAGTTAGTAGATAAACAAAAGCACACCATTTGCCTTTAGTTTAACCATTGTTTTTAGCACTATATAGGCTATCTGTAGCTTTGAGCTAATTACTTTAAGTCTTGCTAAATGTAACTCGTGCAAACTGCGTCGCTAACTGTGGATAAAACATCAGCGCTTAAGGTCAAAGACCTCAATCAAGTCAGCTGAAGCCAGATGTGTGACTCAATAAATACATTAGCTTACTGCTAATACAAAGGAGTTACGTTTTGTTGTTTTGTGGAACTTTTCTTCAAGTGTGCAGATATTTGGACATTTTAACCATTATTCCAAGCTACATATCTATTCCTTATTTTTAACTGTGTCTCTGTAACTAAGGATTTTAAACAGGTTCGGCTAATACAGCTATGTCCAAACTGCCATATATATATATATATATATATATATATATATATATATATATATACACATATATATATATATATATATATATATATATATATATATATATATATACATATATATATATATATATATATATATATATATATAGATATATATATATATATATATATATACATATATATATACATATATATATTAGGGGTGCAACGATACACAAAATTCACGGTTCGGTTCGATACTTTGGTGTCACGGTTCGATATTTTTTCGATACAAAAAAAATGTTCATGCCTTTTTAATTTGTCATTTATTAAAATTATAAATATATATTTTAACTCAAAAATACAGTTTTTAAATTTAACCCTAACCCTTGTGCGTGTTTTTTATTTTGACAGCGAATGCGCACCTGCGGACCACTTATGTGCAGCCCTGGTTATTTAGCTCGTCATATTGCAGCCACAGAAATTATTTTGTCCATGAAACCATAAAGCTGCACTTTCTTTTTGCCTTATAGTCTCATTTGTCATAACTTTTCCGTTTTGTGGTAAGCTTTTCTTTGGCTGTCACTTCTTCACCCTGACCTGTCTTATTTGGCTCAGCAGAACTGAAATGCTTTTACACACGCACTCACATAAGCTCAGCGATTCTCTGCGCGATCAACCTCTCACATGTTTAAGCTGCGGGAGATTTCACTTGTCATGTTTGCATAGTAAGCTAACGATTGATAAGACGATGTCAGAGGAATTGGTGCGCAAATTATCATCACTCACAGATCAGTGCTGTCGCTCTCTATACACAGTTCGCACGATTGCAAAGTGAAAGCAAAAAAACAAGCGCAAATTCAAACGCGATTTCAATATGTCACATATTGACAGTGGCTCACCGATGCCAATGACATAATTACCCAGCTACATTTCTGAAAGAATGCAAAAGCATTGACATATATTTTTCCTTCCTACAAAAGCCCGACGGGCAGGGTAGCCCGACTGAAAAAATCGCTAGCTCCGGGACGTCGGGCTAGCGATATTGCAAGCCCTGTATCTGATTGAGGAATCACTCATCTTTGGAAAAGAGAGTTTATTACAGAGAAATGGCTCTTTCCGAAATAAAAGCTATACTATCCGCTTCTTCTGGGCTATATTCTCAGCAGCATATTGTAGCGGGTCAGGGCTGTTCGGGGTTCTGTTTGTACAGTTATGTTTTGTTTATGTTGCCATAGTGACGGGTGACGCCTTCTCGCTGCGACGGTGTGTCCTTCCGGGGTCAGAGGGCGCCCTGTGTGTTGTTGTTGTTGTTGTTGCTGTGCGGTTTCCGCGCTGAGCAGTTAGCTAGCGGCAGTGTTCTTCTGCAGATGTCAATAAACGGCTGTGCTTCCTGGCTAGCTCACGGGAAGCAAGACCAAACGATACCTCCGTCTCCTCCTTGTCTGAGCTCGCCACAATATTAAACATAGCAGGTCCCCATAAGGAGAATCATGTGCTAACGGCTGTCTAAATGACTCGGATAAAGTTTGTAGCATGCACGCTTGTTGTTTTTGTCTGCTTCCACTTGTCTTTGTACTAGGATGATGTCGGCGTAAATGTGCAGTCATATTCGTTGTGTTCCCACTAGTGCTGTCAGCGTTAATCTCGTTGAAATGATGTTAACGCCACAACACGGCAAATCTCCGTTAACGAGCTACCCCTGCGTGGGGCTAGACGGCTAACACGTTAACGAGCTAACTGTGCTAACACACTAGTTCCCACCCATGTAATTGAGCATTGCGTGGCACATCCAACATACTGTTTTACTTTAGTCCATGACGCGCTTACCTTCAGGGTCATACGTCACATGAAAACCAAAATAATTCCAAACGCCAGATCTGAATGAGGGTGGGGGAGGTTCAATTTGCCATGTTGCAAGGAGAGCTTAACTTCTGTCTCGCTAGCTTGCCCTGCGCTCTTCCTTCTGATGATCCTGTCTGTGTTGAATGCTCAGTGGATCTGCGCTCGACAGTGCAGCCTAGGCGGAGTAGTCGAACGCAGATTCACTGAGCGCTCAACACAGACAGCATCGTTAGAAGGAAAGTTGATAAAATAAATGACAAATTTTGTATTGTTCGAACCGAAAGCACTGTATCGAACGGTTCAATATCGATACGAGTATCGTTGCACCCCTAATATATATATATATATATATATATATATATATATATATATATATATATATATATACATATATATATATGGCAGTTTCCAAGGCCTCAGGTGTAGACAGCTTCCTGTACTTCTTAGGTACCTACCTCATCGCACCTTTCTGCAACTCCGATAGTTGGCTAACCTCCCTCCGTGCTACCTTGATCTTAGCCTCTAGCCTCCTTCTCCATGGAGGGTACTGCCCCTTGTGGCTGTTCAACTTGTAGCCAAGCATCTCACTGATCACTGCTGCTGTATTGTACATCAGCTTGTTAGTGTCGGTAATCGTGGCTGTAGGTATCGTCCGTAGTGCTGCATTAACATCATCTAGCAGACCTTCTGAGGGTACTTCACGTAATCTTGGTAACCGGCAGAGGTGGAAAGAGTACTAAAATATTTTACTCAAGTAAAAGTACTATTACTTTGCTGAAATTTTTCTCAAATACAAGTAAAATTACCTGTCTAAAAATTTACTCAAGTAAAAGTAAAAAGTAGCTTATTTAAAATTTACTCAGAGTAAAAGTTACATAGTTACTTTTTTGTCAGCAGGAGGACAACCTCTTCTGAGTAGTGCAAAAAAGACAATGGGATAAATCTCAAAGTAGTTGTTTTTTAATTAAAAGAAAAACTTTACAAATTAAAGCTCAGTGGCAGTTAAACTGCAAGTCTATACATCAAAATGGATAATGGTCACCAAACCAACCAACCAAACTGTCAAAACCATATAATTCTTTTACATGTGAATGTGTTTTAAACTGTCAAATAAGAGAACAAGTACTGAATTGAGCTGTACGGCAGCTGCTATAAAAATGTGTTTTAATTTTTTAAACTTGGCCCTGCTTTGTTAATTTTGAGGAGCAATTCAATTCAATTCAATAAAACTTTATTGATCCTGAAGGTTGACCCCGAAGGAAATTGGGTTAAGGTTGCCGACCTTTGCCAGCGTCATCTTACCCTCCTACCATACATACATTACACAAACATCACATGGGGAAGACAGGTCAGAGAGGTATAACGATGGAAAATGCACCACGTGAGGAAAGATAAGAAGAAAAAAATAAGTCCCCCTAGACCAGGGGTGTCAAACTCAAATACACAGTGGGCCAAAATTCAAAACTGGAACAAAGTCGCGGGCTAACATTTATATGAAAAAAAAACTTCAGATATAAGAATGAATCTTTTCTTATGGACTCAAACAGGTTTTGCTGAAAAACTGAATATGGAACAGCAAAGCTTAATACTAAACAATATATACATTAGCTGTATAATACCAGTAGGCCAGCTCTAATAGTAATTTGGTATGGCTTCGCGGGCCAAATGTAATTAGGCTGCGGGCCAAATTTGGCCCGCGGGCCAGAGTTTGACACCTATGCCCTAGACTGAGCTCCAACAGGGAGATCAGTTTGAGAACAGAAAAAAACACCTCTGCACATAGCACATGTTATTCTTTTGCCTGCAGTGTGAACATATGTGGGTTAAGTAAGAAAGTAGCCGCTTCTGTCTTCTTCTTTTTTTTTTTTTTTTTTTTAATTATTATTATTAACAAACAGGAAAAGTGAACACATTTTCTTTTGGCAATTTACCAATCAAGTAAAAATATTTTAAGTTGCATGGACAACAACGTGCCCAATAACAGCTTATGTCTTAACTTAATGTGATTAACTTGAGCACAGCCTTTTTTGCTAAAATAAATGTACAAGTTTCATTTAACTTACCTCTACATGCCTGCGCAGGTTTGATGTGGAATTTTTAAAAGCTGCTAACGCGGTCTCTCTGTGCAAACACAGCTTACACTGCATAATAAAGCTGTTGCCTTTCTTGCACTTGAAGCCGAAATGGTCCCTTAAATACGGCCAGGGGTTCACATCGGTTTCTTCGAGTTCAGGATCAGCAGAATTCGATGGG